TGCATTCAGGTGTCGCAGGTCAAATTTATTCGTTCATTGTGTGTTTATTTACGTTTTTTGATTGAGTTAAGCCTTCCAATTGATATTTTATAGTGTGTTTTTCTATGTTGTGATGTTATACTATTGTTTCAGAAAAGAGAGAAGGTTTGGTACCATTAAAACGTTTAATCCCACTGCAAATGTTTGCACCTGTCTTAAGTCAGGAATCTGATTACAGTAGTTGTCGTCTGTTTATGTAGTTCATACGTGTTTCTCGTTTCTCGTTTTTATATAGATTAGACCGTTGGTTTTTCCGTTTGAATGGTTTTACACTAGTAATTTTTTGGGGCGCTTTATAGCTTGCTGTTCGGTATGAGCCAATGCTCCGTGTTGAAGGCCGTACCTTGACCTATAATGGTTTACTTTTATAAATTGTTACTTGGATGGAGAGTTGTCTCATTGGCACTCATACCACATCTTCCTATATCTATTTACATCTAATATTTCCTATATCTTGAGATTAAAGGTACTACCGAAAGTAAAATCTCTGCATCGTATTTGGATGTTTTCCTTGATATTAACACAGATGGACGACTTCAAACTTGAAATCTATGAATACATGATGATTTCAAGAGAGGCGGAAGATATCAGATGGACATTCAAACTCATAAATCGAAGAAAAAAATGACAACGCCATTGCAAAAAAAAGAAAAAGACAAAAAGACAAGCAACTATACACAAAACACAACATAGAAAACTAAAGACTGAGCACGCGAAAAACACCAAAAACCGAGGGTGATCTCAGGTGCTCCGGATGGGTAAGCAGATCCTGCTCCACACGTTGCACCCGTCGTATTGCTCATGTCAGTACAAACCCGGTGATAAGTCTGATTCGGTAGGCCACGTTCGGGAAAAAGGGACGGGATTGTGCTTACAACAATCTGAACATATCCGTCGTCATCTTTGAAACAGATATTCCATGACGGTCAACCAATTCGTGATGGAGAACGTAAAATTATGAAGGGATGATTTCAACTTCACCACTTGGAACACTTGGTTTAATAATTTCCTTGTGAGCAGCAACTCTCTATCAAGGAAATCATGATAGGAAATACAAGCCCTGGAATATCGTATCAATTGAGAAATATGTACTTCGTATGCAGGGGCTGCTGGAATGTTGCTACGTAGAAATGGAAAGTTCACAATTGGGAAGCTGAAAGCATCTCTTTTTGTCGTTTAGTTTTGTTTTCAACCCACCCTCATTGTCAATTTCTAGATGTAAGTCATGATATGAGACAGGCTAAACTGTATCGGTTGTATCCTTTATCTCAATCTCAAGTTCGATGGGATAGATACGTTCAACATAGTCACCAAACTTTGAATTATTTAGTGAGAAAACATCATCTATATACCGAAAACCAAAGTTGAAGGATAATGCTAATTTCTTGTCTTATTTCCTAAGAAGCTCCTATATGAAGTCAACGTCATATGAATAAAGGAACAAGTAGACAAGAAGAGGAGTACAGTTGGTTCCTATGGGAATGCCGATTGTTTGTTGAAAAAAAAACACGTCCTCCAAACGTAACAAATATGTTGTAAATCAAGAAATGAAGCATCTTGATAATGTCAGTTTCAGAGAATTTTTTTTAATCAGAGTGATTTTTTACAAAGTACGACCTATTCCTCCTTAAGACAAGGCAGTACTACTTTCTTCAGCGGTAAATAATCGTCAACAATCAAAAGCAAGTTTTAAAAAAGTATTAACAAAAATAACGAACTCCATGGTAAATTCAAAAGGGGAAGTTCATAAAAACTGGCCAAATGTTTTTCAGCACCCTTTAAAGCTGGTGGAATTCCTCACTTTAAACATGTGTCAGGGCTAAATATAAATTTGTATGCATGTTATGATGTTATGGGCATGTTTTCTGCTGAAGTTCAAGGTAACTTGTGAAGCAATGATAAGAAATCAAATATAGTGCATGTATATAAGATTACATTTGAAGTTATTAATACCAGAACTGAAATAGTCATGAACATTTTTTAAAACGTTACTACATGCGATTTACATATTGTTCGGTCATAATATAAAAATGAGGAGATGAAGTATGATTGCCAATGAGACAAGTATCTACCATTATTCCATATAAAGTCGATGTAAACAATTATAGATCACAGTACGGCATTCAACAATGAGCCAAACCCATATCGTCTAGTCAGGCAAAGTTGACCTTGATGAATTTTATTATTCGTTTAAACTCCTTTTGATCATATTGCTCTTCACGTGTTTAAGTCGTTATACATTCTTGGCTTTCAATTTTGGGTAATAACACCTAATGTCGCTCCTTCTTGAGTTCTTGCGATTCACTCATATTTTGTTCGTTACCTTAATTTGTCTGCTTAATCGATTTATGTGATAAAGTTACTGAATGCATTATTTGTCACAGTTGATATTTTTTAAGTCCAATTGTGGTAACCGCCATAATGTCGTCTTCCCTCATAAATTGCTTATCACTAAATACGACTATAGGAGTGTGACCTGGAGAATTATGTCCATAAATCAGAATATCTGGACACATGGCCTGAAATAACAGTTGACTGGGTTCTCAAATATTTTTAACAAATTAAATAAAAACGAAAAAAAATATAATCACTGAAATTTATCTGCCTCTTGAGTCGAGTTTTACATTTTTCAAAACATATCCTCTCGATCATTGGAATAACCTAATACAATTTTTATATATGTATTAAGGCCACAGCAGACTAACGCTGTTAAAATCTCGTAAATCGAGAAGAAAGAGACAAATCAAGGTAACAAATCCAAACAGAGGGAATCGCAAAAACTGTTAAAGGTGTGAGACCGGATGTGTCGACAGGGTAAGCCTCTCCTGCTATGTATGCATCAGCTGACGGTATTATAAACAACAAAGCACAAGTACATGTATAATACATTATACTAATTAATATCGTATCAAATAATACTTACAGATACCTTAAAGTACTTAACATGGATATAAGAAGATGTGGTATGAGTGCCAATGAGATAACTCTCCATCCAAGTCACAATTTGTAAAAGTAAACCATTATAGGTCAAAGTACGGCCTCCAACACGGCGCCTTGGCTTACACCGAACAGTAAGCTATAAAGGGCCCCAAAAATTACTAGTGTAAAACCATTCAAACGGGAAAACCAACGGTCTAATCTATATAAAAAAACGAGAAACGAGAAACACTTATGAACCACATCAACAAACGACAACTACTGAACATCAGATTCCTAATGTTGATATGGATGCTTCGTCTTCCTACACAGATTAAATAATACAATAAGATAATTCTAAAATATTTCAAAAGCATCTATAAATTCGAAATTACATTTTAGTTAAGAATATTAAAGAACGATATATAGCCGGGTCGTCAAGATGCTCCAATAAACATATTACGAACGTTCGTACCACCATTCTTTCTTTTAAAAGATGGCCTTCAGAAATATTGATATGCTCAGTGGTCAAGATATGTAGTCTTATTAAAAAGATCTACTCAAAAATCATTAATCATAATATTTATAATTTTGCAGGAAAAAAAATTCTTTCTACGCTTTAAACTATTGTTCCCCATGCTCATTTTAAAGATCGCATACATCGTCTCATTCAACAGATATTTTTCCTCAAAGATTTCTTCTTCAGGTCCTGAAAAAACGTTGTGAGGAACCGCGCTGATTCCAAAAACACATACAACGAGGATGCTGTCATCAAAATGCAAGACTTTCTGATCGACAAAATATTTGTTGAGTTTGGTGGATTAATATTTTTAACAACCAGTCGGTATTCTAATGGGTACAAATTATGCACTTCTCCTGGCCGACTAGTTTTGGTTACCACATACAGCAGAATTCATACAAAAACAAAAAAAATACATCTTGAAAAGTTCTTTAATTTCACTTTCAGATACCATGATGATGTCCTGTGATTCAATAACTCGCATTTCATTGAATACTTGAATCTCATATATCCGCGTGAACTTGAGATTAACGATACTACCGACACTAAAAGGTTTGCTTCATATCTTGATTTTTCCCTCGATATTGACACAGATGGATGACTTCAACTTTCCAAAAGTCAATTTCCCATTTTTCACCAGTAACATACCCTCTGTCCCATCGTATGGCGTTTACATATCTCTATTGATACGTGCATGTTCACACTTTACGGACTTTATTAGCAAGTGTGTTCTCCTTACATAAAAACTGCTCGACACCACATAAGTCTTACGGGGATCATCACGAATTGGTTGACCTATAGAATAAATCTGTGTCTTAACTCACTAGCGACATGATGTAGCAGTCTTAAATATTTAGATACCAGAATAGTCGTCTGATCTGTAATTTACCAATTGTGAAATTTTGACTGAATGTGGATTCGCATGCCGGGTGATGCATGTTTAGCAAGAGAGGCTTTACTTTGTCAAAACACCAGGTCTCGCCCCTCCAGGAGCTGAAGCGACATCCGAAGATTGTGTTTGTAACCTTGATTATAAATTGATTTATTAGATTTGAACATAGGTAAACTAATGTTGTCTCAATTTGTACTTTTTACTGCTATTTCATATAGTATATTTATCTAGTATGGACAGTCTAAAAATTGCAAACGGATGAAAAACATATATTGGGGAGACATCACGACGTGTATGCGTGAGTACAAGAGAGAAAGTAGAGAAACAATTAAATAGATACGAAATGCATGGAATTTTCCGTATTAACAATGACCCTTTCGGTTTTTGTTTTGTTTGAATGTCGGAAATTGTAGAGACAGTCCTTCTAACGCCCAACTTATAAGGTGGTTGTGATACCACTGACACCCTTATACCCCTCGTTCCATTTAACATGCAGCTGGTAAGACACGATCCATCAGGTTTTGACTGATCTACAGTTATTTGTAGGTTTTAGTCCGTGACCGTATTACTATCCCTGTGAAAGGTCGGGATGATAAGGAACCAGCAGAGCCATTTTCGTGGTAGATATTGATAATGATGTTTGCTTTTTGTTTTGCTGCTATTATAGCAGTAGGTAAGTATGTTTTCTCATCTAAACCATGCACTAGTTTTCGAATATATAAATCAAATCAAATCAAATTATTTATTGGTGTAAATCCAAATACTGGAGTGTTACCAAGACAAACATGACAATATTTACAAACATACAAAATTCAAAGTTAACAAACATCCATATTATATCAATAAATCATATAGTTAGATACTTTTGTGGGGGTGATATTTTGGCAAATTTGAAAATGAAAGTGCAATATTCTTAATGAAATAGTTATAAAATGTAACAAAACAAATATATATGTAATAAAAATGAACAAATGTATACGAAAAAAAAAAGATGCTACCCATTATATCAAGTATTTTCATAGTAAACACGATTTAGAAACATATTTAATATACAATTTGTCTTATTTATTGATCGTATGTACTAGTATCTTTTTTTAATGTACTTAACACAAATGCAAACGCTTCTAGCGCACTGCAATGAAAATTTTATTGTAAGACATCATGCTTACGTCAGCGAATCCACACTTGGCTATACAACTTGAATTAGCATTCTATTTATTTCTCTTTATGTAATCATCTTGTTTGCCATGCACATGTCTGTTTGTAACCACGTTGTTGAATATGACGCATCAGTTGGCTGAAGCAGAGACTTTTCAGTGTTCACTGATTTTGTCAATGGTCAATGTAACAACATAATGGTTGGCTTTTCAAAAGCGTTTATCTGCAATGTGTTTTAGGTGCCCTGTTTATTTTCGTTTATGATTAACAGTTTTTGAAAAATTCTGCGGAGTGATTACACAATCTAAGTTTGCAATTGTGAGTTCACTCAGCATTGGCGTAGCTTACGTTGAGAAAACCGAGGCAGTTTCCTCGGTAAAGAAAAAAATAATAATCTTTTATACAATTTCCACCTTATGCAGCAGACTCGCTAACTTAACGCTTGTGTCGTCATATTGCTGTTATTGATTCATCCCCTTTGCGAATTCAAGACTTATGGAACATTTCCGTAATTGGAAATCCCCTTTGCGGTAGTTTTCAGTAATATAAATATGTCGGAGTCAAAGAAATCGACAAAATTGAAGCAATCTGATATATTTAATCCTAACCCAAGCAAAATCAGTAAAATAGATGATGATCCAGCTCACGAGCCTTCTCCGATCGAATATCTTGACCAGTCAGGTAAATTATTATTTTTGTGTGGGAATAATTTCTAGTACATGTGGGTCTGGGTGCGGTTTACAGAATACAGAAATATGCTCTGAAATTAATTTACACTTAAAAGGAATAGAGATATTTAAGAGGGTGCTAAAATATAAAAGAAAGGAGATTATGGGCGAAAGGAATTAAAAATAAATATTTGAAGACCCCTATTCAAACCCTCATACATATAACGGGTAACGTCTAAAATTGAAACATCGTTGTGTGTTGATATTTCCCCCTACGTTTAGTACAATTACTCAGAGTTTCATTGACTTTGATACCAATCAAAATAAAAATATACATCATTCAACATGCACAAAAAATAATGTGTATGTTGTTCTAAAATTTTTCTTCTCTCTATTTTAAATTTATATTTTTTCACTAGCAGGGAATTTTGAATATTAAAAGGAGTCATTAATTTCAGAGACATATATATATGGTATATGTCTGTTAGTGTATACGATGTCAGTTTATATATTCAAAATGTCAACCAAATACTGTTTTCATATATTCTTCAGAATAGCGTAAATAGTTCCGTTAGTACTTCGCCGGTTGTCATTTTCACCATGGGAAAAATTTCAAAACCATATAAGAATTTGAAGACCTTCCAAGAAATATCAGGGCGAAACACAACCAATGAAAGTGCCGTGGTGCACTTTACATGTAGCATGTGGTTATTTCCTAGATTCGTGGCCCACGAATAAACGAATAAATTATCATCACAAAAATTATTTCAAATAAACCTTAATTGTTCGTTCGTTTTTTTGCATTGCAAATTCTGTACAGGTTTCTTCTTGTCATCGAACAAGGTCTTGTCTCCCTTCTGGTATGACGTTCAAGCTTATGTCACAGTGAGGTACAGCCACCAATATAAGAGTGTACGATCGCATGGAAAAATATCGTCAGATTAAGTATTTGAATTGGCTTTCAGGAAACTTGTCAGTGGTTGTCTTATGTGGTAACTTCACGTGGTTCGTATTCAGTCTCTTACAAACAAAGAGAAAAGAAAAAAGTAACTTCCACGAAGCTTGACATATTGTAAGGACATATATATATTGTTTGAGACCGTATGTCGACCTCTAGATGACTTTTAATTTTGTTGTATTGTTGGCTTGCTGTGTCATTAACGTATAACTCATATCCATCTCCTTTTATTCGCAATGAATATAAAACCTTTGAAGTTCACTGAAAGGATTCGATTTTGAAAATATATTTGTATTTATCTGAACATTGAAAATGACGTATGTACCAGTTACCAACTAATAAATCTGTAGTATAACTAAGTGTAAGGCATATTAACATTATTATGATGAAATAGATTTAAACAACCACTATCATTTTTTATTAATTCTGCTTGTTGAAATTGCAAAACCTCTGTAGCTTCTGGGAGCGCCCCCCAAGACCCCCTGCCTCGGTAATAACAGAGGGCAAGCTACGCCACTGAGTTAAGCTAATAAGACGAAGTGTTTTTACATATTCGGCTTTCAAACTTTGACTTAAAACGTTTCTGGTACATACAGATAGGTCTATAGCTCGAAACGTGGCAAATTCTAGGTTTCACCTTTTTTGTCTTTGTCATATTTTTTTTGATATCGCAGTAATATCTTTACTTATGAACATATGTCTGCTACGTCATAATGGTTGGGTATTGTATAGTTCATAATTCAAAGTCTTACTTATCCTTATCATCCTTGGAACAACGATAACCGCACAATGCTATAACATCTGAATTGGTAGTAAATTAAGTTGTCTATTTGGGTCAATTCATCAATTTTGCTGGGTTATATAAGATGTGAGTATTTACTCATTGTACAAATTATCTAAAATTCATTCACTTTCTGAAATACACATTAAAATGATTTTTTTTTATGAAAGCATGCGTGTGAAGTGCAATAAAATATGATATCATAGAAAATTTACAAAAATAGTGAATGTTTAATCTCACAAAGCATGTGACTTACGAAGAAAATGAAAATAAAGCACACATTTCGTCCTCGGAAACTTCTTTCATACATCCTTAAATCATCGATTGCTATATTAATCACGTGATCAAAGGAAATGTAGAGCGACATTATGAACAAGGAATAGTAACATTCTACTTAGTCAGGATAATGTGTCATTCTTATCAGCATGTTCCGTCGGAGCCTAACACATTTTTCAAGGACAAGCTAATCAGGTCACCATTTCAGAACTCTTGTCTTATCGCTGTGTACTATCAAAACAAAGGTTTGGGCGATTAGGCAGATTAAGCATCGGTTATTGGGCTCTATAAATAGACTAGAAGCATTTATTCTTCTGGTTCAGGGAACTCGGTGGCCGAGTGGTCTAAGTAGTCGAACTATTGTATCACTAGCCTGTCAACACCGAGGTTGTGAGTTCGAATCCGGCATGTGGCAGGTGCGTTCGACTCCAATCTTAAGAAGCTAGGATTGTCAGTTTTCCAATTGAAGGTCGGTGGTTCTCTCCGGCGTCCTCCACCAATACAAACTGACCGCTACGAAATAGCATAATAGTGCTGAAAGTGGCGTGAAACACCAATCAATCCATCAATCAATCAATCTTCTGGTTAATACTCGAATGTGTCCCTGGATTTCGTGTGTTCATGAACCACAATGAATTTATCTGACAATAAATTGGGATTATCTCATCTCATTGACCTATAAACAACTGGAGAATGATTGTGTATTCCAGATTTGGTCCAGGCGGTTTGAAGAGAATGTGACCGGTCAAATTATTTTCCTGTCGGCATATGTGACCTATGCAAATTCCTCGATCAAAGACACACCTCCCCGACATAGAGTTTTACGACATATGGTCTAGATAGACAAAAGGGGTATATAAAACTGGTTCCTGTTATCCTTTTTTAGCTCACCTGTCCCAAAGGGCCAAGTGAGCTTTTCTCATCACTTGGCTTCCGTCGTCCGTCGTCGTCCGTCGTCGTCGTCTGTTAACTTTTACAAACATCTTCTCCTCTGAAACTACTGGGCTAAATTTATCAAAACTTGGCTATAATCATCATTGGGGTATCTAGTTTAAAAAATGTGTCCGATGACCCCGCCATCCAACCAAGATGGCCGACATGGCTAAAAATAGAACATAGGAGTAAAACGCAATATTTGTCTATTCTTTTAAAAACCGTTATTAATAGAGAAAATCTGACAAGAGCAGAAATGTTCAGAATGTTGAGCTCTACCAATTATACGTACACGTCAGAACTGTCAGGCGACTTCTTATACGAGTTATTGCACTTTAAAAATGACAAATTTTACCATTTTTTTTTCCATTTTTGCCTATTATCATTCAAAACTATAATAGATACAGAGAAACATTAAAATGCAGAAATGATCAGCAAGATTTGTTCCACAAATAAATCTGATGGTTGAAATCGTCAGTCGACTCTTTATAAGAGTTATTGCCCTTTGATGACGATTTTTACCAATTTTTTGCGTTTTTGACTTATATCTTAAAATTATAATATCTAGATTGAAACTTAAATAGGCAAAAATGATCTGCAAGACAAGATCTACAATTAAGACAATATGGAGGAAATCGTCCGACGACTCCTTATTAGAGTTATTGCACTTAAAAGAAAATTTTACCATTTTTTTTCATTTTTGCCTTTTGTTTTGAAAACTATAATAGATAGAGAGAAACTTTAAATTGCAAAAACGATCAGCAAGACACGTTCTACAAATAAGTTGCATGGTCGAAATCGTCAGTTGACTCCTTATAAGAGTTAATGCCCTTTGAAGACGATTTTTAAATATTAATAGATAGATAGAAACTTAAACAAGCAAAAAATGATCAGCAAGACAAGATCTACAATTAAGACAATATGGAAGAAATCGTCCGACTATTCTTATTGGAGGTATTGCCCTTTAATGACGATTTTTACCATTATTTTGGCGTTTTGCCTTATATAATAAAAATTATAATAAATAAATAGACACGTTCAATAACAAAAATGACCAGCAAGGCAAGATCTACTAAAAAGTCAAATTTTGCTAATTTTGATAGTAGACTTCATTCTTTATAGGAGTGATTGCCATTAAATGAGGATTTTTTTTACCCTTTTTTGTGTTTTGAGCAAAAGCTAAAGAAGATAGAGAGAAACTAAACAAACTTAATTATCAGCAATACAACTTGAGACCAACAAAACAGAGAATTTTTGTCATGAATATTATTCTCGTCTACAATGTTGGAGTGTCCTTTGTTGAATATGCACATAGACCATGGTGAGCGACGCGGGTTCTTTGGAGCCTCTAGTTTTTATTTAATTCGAAAAAAATCTTGTAAAAATGGACACACATTCAAATAAAGTATTGTAATGTACACTAAAACTGACAGGTAATACAATGGGGATTTCCAAGAAAGTGCACTTCACTACATTGTACATAACGTCATTATAAAACTGTTTCAGTTAATTTCATCCATAGTATTTATAATCTGCAGAAGATAATATTCCAGCTTTAGGTATTGAGACATTTCTCTTCAAAACTTTGGTTTCAATATAAAAATGTTTTCAGAACACCTATGAAGCTTGACAAAGTCTTAAGAAGTAGTGTATTATTATTTTTTTTTCAGATATCTACCTCAGAATACTCATCGTTTGGCATACAATATCTTAAAGTTTGAGTCAATCAAACAAAAAATCTGTTTCGTTTACTATAGATTCTAGTTTTGGAACGCCAGCTGTCAATTAAAAATTGAAGAACCTGTATCTATTTAGTCTCTTTTAAACCAATCTCTAAAGGATATATTATTTGAATTCAAATAGCAAAACGTAGATTTATATAAAAAGCAAACATCATACTCAGTATATTTGAACGCGAAATTAACAGATCTGATAATTCGAATTTTCAATTTTATCAAAAAAAATTCTTAAAAACACTACGTCGTGTGGATACAAGAACAAAGCATTTAGAAGAGCAGCACAGAGATGATAATCAATGGAAAACTGCTGTCTTTTTTTTTTAATTTTTTTTTCTGAAAGGTACAAATCAAATTAAGCAGTCCTTTTTAACAGCAGAATCTGAATTAAACAAAGATGTTTTTCCTTCTGGAATCAAGTTAACTTTGATTTCGTTTTTTGAAATTGCAAGGGAAATCTTACCCGAAAGTTGCAGTCACCAGGTACATGAACAGTCAATTTCGAACTTCTTTTATACTTAACACGCGGTAATACAACAACTCATATCTTTATTTAACTCCAACTATATTTTTTTTCAGTTCAGAGTGGTGAACAAGATGTCGTGGCATTTACTAAAGGTTTGGTGGCCCATGCCCATTTAACACAAGGCGACTTAGTAACCTATAACAAGGACATTACAAATATCAATGCCGTGTTTACAAGCGATGGGAAATTCCAAGTCCAAATACCAGGCATTTATTCCTTCCATTTCTACTCATTAAGTAGAAGCGATTCTGAGATTTGGTTGGAGTTTCGTAAGAATGAAGACTACGTTGCTTCTATTTATGCCTACACAGCTAGTGATTGGGCTGATGCTGGGAACACCATAGTACTGGAATTACAGGCTGGTGACACAATTTTCGTCAAAGCTGTTGAGGATTACGACAACTCCTTATATGGGGCAGCTGGTGAAATCTATACGACTTTCACAGGAGAGCTTATGTTTTCTGAAAAATCTGGCAAGTAAAACGACATTTGATAAATGATATACATTTATATTATAGTGTTTAGAGAAGGAATATTTTTTTTTTCTTTCTCGTGTTTTCTTTTTTCATCGTGTATCGATCCTCCTTATTGTTTTATCTATTCTATGTCTTAGTTCTTTCAGTCGTTCTTTATTCATCTTTTTCTTTTTCACTCGAATTTTCATTCGTTTATCTTCTGTAATAAAACCAATGTACATCTATATTTTAAATGGGTTATTTTATTACAGAGGAGAAGCAGAGTGATAGGTTTACTTTTATAAATTTTGACTTGGATGGAGAGTTGTCTCATTGGCACTCATACCACATCTTCTTATATCTATATAAGCCCTCTATTCACAAAAATTCATAAATATAATTGTAACCAAATCATTGTAACCATTGTAATCATTTGTACAAAATCTAACTTGATTATTCTGACTGTTTTAGCGACTTTACTTAAAGGGGCACTAGCTGTCAAATTCAAGTTCACCGATTTGACTCAAATTCTCATATTTGATTTATAACAATGTAAAACATTTATCCAAATTATAAAAAGTCTAAAATAAAAAATATTCCGGGCATGGGCTCGATAATATGTAGCTTCGTTTCGTGTGTATTTTAGTCTAGACGCCATCTAATTAACTGTCGAGTTGACCCCGAAGACCTCCGATTGCCATATAAGCGATATAAACATAAATAAAGATATAAATAGATAGCAGAATCGTGCATTTGGATTTTTCTAGGTCTGTTTAATTTCATATTATAGATTAAAAATATATGTTAATCATCGTTTTTACCTGTATAAGAAAGATTTTTTGTGGATCGAATCAGTCAATCAAATATTTACCTTTGTTTCATTTTCAATGTTGACATTCTTTTCCTTTAAATAATTGAACACGCACAATGCATGCGGTATCCATCTCTAGCCAAGGGGTTAAATTGAAGTTCACATGAATACGGATTCAATGAGGTCGAATTATTCACTTGCAAGTGAATAATTCATCCTCAATGTTTCTTAGCTTATTTTGACAAAATTGAACCATACTGGCTGCTAAAAGCGATATATTATTTCACTATTTCACTTTCATTAATGATTGAACAAAAAAAAATCGTATTTTACATTTTGTTATATATCTCGTAGCTAGTGCCCCTTTAACAATAAAATATTGAACTTGAACAACGGATGATTGTCAATTATAAACTTTATTATTTTGAATACAGAGTTTCAGAACAGATAATTAAAACATTCCTCAAAACCATATCAAATCAAAGAACAATAGCTCAGAAGCAGTTAATAGTCTCAACTGAAAAATGAGACTCAAAGGAGGAAAGGGTGCAAAATTATTGTTCCGAGACGGTCCTAGTATCAGTTATACTGGGTGTAATAAATATAACTGGAAAAGTGAGGCAAACATTTACTTAAATAATTGACGGTATTTATAGTATTTATAATTATGTGTGGACATATACATTTTAGGTGTTGCAAACCCTATAGCATTTTCCGCCGGACTCACGAAAAACATCTCATTGCCAAGCGGAACCAATGTACTGTATGATAAAATTATAACAAATGCTGGTAATGGTTTTGATATAACCACCGGAGATTTTGTGGTCCCACAAGATGGCACCTATATGATTCACTTTAACTCTTTGTCAGAATTAGGAATGGTATGTTTGAGTTATTTTTACGTTTAAGATGACAATTAAATCTGCGCGTCAAGGAAAAGAGAGGGAATCTGTTGTTTTTCCTTTACTCAGAATGGATGAATCAACATCTTAAGTATTTGATATCTACAGTCATTTCAGGCATTTGGTAAGGAAAGTTGGTTGTAAATATCTAATGACAACATAATTTTTTTTTCGCACCAGTAGCGAAATGCAAAACAAAAAAGGTAGTGAAAACCTTATTGTTCGAAAGAAAAATATATAAAAATGGATACGAAACCATGGGTCAATCAATGGCTGACATTATACATGCAAGCTAAAGACGAAACTACATTAGTTACCTTAAGGTACACTCTTACGGAATTAATAGGGCAGATATACAAAAACCGTTTACCACTTTTTTTATATATTGTCTATGTTTATGCACAACAGATTATTCAACACTTGCAAACATTCGACTATCGAAGTGTTGATCAAATTAAACAATTACCCTTCTTGAAAGTTCTGGTCAAACTGCTCATCATTTACAGCAGTTCAAAATAACTGAAGCGATTTACCCTTTAGCATGTTAGTAAAGTATTATGTAATATTTTTTTTTAAATGTCTTTTCATTCCACAACAACTAATTGCTTCGCATAGTACGCGTGTTGTATTATTGTGCTATATTATTACAATGTGTCGCTCTATTTAAAAAAAAAAAATGTTTTTGTATATTTATTTGTATGGAAAAAAAGTAAAATAACAAAAATACCGAACTCCGAAAATTCAAAACGGAAATTCCTTTATCAAATGGCAAAATCAAAAGCTCAAACACATCAAACGAATGGAAAACAACTATCATATTCCTGACTTGGTACAGGAATTTCCTTGTGTAGAAAATGGTGGATTAAAACTGGTTTTATAGCTAGCTAAACCTCTCACTTGTATGACAGTCGCATATAATTCCATTATATTGACAACAATGTGTGAGCAAAACAAACAGACATAATAGGTAAAAATTTCAAAAATGGAAGGATGCTTTAATCACAGATTATGCTTTTATTATTTTGTTAAGTTTTATTTTTATCAAACGTTTTTTTTTTTGTATTAAATTACTTTTCTTAGGAAATGTGGTTGGAACTATATCTTAATGATCAATATATCAACTCCGCATATGGTCAAGCTCCCCATACATGGGCAGATGCGGGAAACAGTGTCATCTTGGACATGAAATCAGGGGATCGATTAAGGGTGAGAGGCAGAAAAGGAGAAAACATTGTCCTGTATGGACAGCCAGATGAAATTTATTGTATCTTTTCTGGTGTTATGTTGACAGCGAAGAACGCTCCAGCAGCTGGTAAAATTTTATTTCCGTCTGTATTTTTAAAGCACTTATTTGTGTTATAAACTAAATGATTAAATGTGTTCTTCAAAGCACACGTGAAGCGTGATAACATCCATCAAAGAATTATGCTCAAACTTGTTGTAGGGACAGTCTTTATTTAGTAGTGAGATGTGAGTTCTTCTTGTTGAAAGCCATACTTACTATAGAGATGAAGAACAGCATTAACACATTGTTCCTTTAATTTTGGTTATGTCAGGGTGCGTACATTGATTTGTGATAATAAATACGTCACATCCCTTCTTTTCACTTAAATAAAGGTAGCAACCGAAAGAAATTACTTTTACCAGTTTTAAATTTTGTGTTTTAAACCAAATGATAAAATGGTCAGTTTTATTTAGAAATATAACAACCAATACTAAAGTCTTCTGCACTCGTGCAGACCCAAGAAAATAAAATAAATTGCAGTGATCGATCCTTTTCCGTGTTTTTTTTAAATGTCCTTGCTCAATATAAAGTAGACGAAATCGAGGTCATATCTCGTTGTTAAGTAAAAAGACAAGTGCATGTGTATTAGGATTAAATTTACACAAACACGTTATTGTTGAACGCGATATTAACGAAAAGTACAAATTCATTTTCCCGTCGTCTAAATTTCCGTAGTAGTACAGGGACTAGTGGATATAGGCTTTTTCAACTCAAAGTTTTAATTATTACGCAATAAAGACATTATTAAACGCTCAAATATTTAAACTGTGTATATCTGATATCAAGTTTACTTTTATATGCATCTTATTCAGGTGCGAATGCTGGGCAAATACAGGCATTTGCTGCAGGTCTTACAAAAAATCAAAACAATGGCGTAACAACTACAAAAGTCACGTGGGACAAAGTATACACAGACCATGGTAGCAATTTCAATCAAACAAGTGGTGTCTTCACCGCTAAAATTTCTGGTGTCTATGTGTTCAACTACCATGGCATGGGACAACAAGATGAAGAGGTTTGGCTGGAACTATACCATAATTATGTCTACGTTAATTCCCTTTACGGACACGCAACTCATGGTTGGGCTGGCGGCAGTAATTCCGCTGCGCTTTATTTGGCAACAGGGGATACTGTCTATGTAGATATGAAAGACCATTCAACGAAAATGTATGGGGATGTTGATCAAATTTATTGTACATTTTCTGGATATCTTCTAGCACCTATGATTAAAGGAAGTCCAATTGTTGGAAGATAAATAAATCATATGGATGATTTATTATTTGTTTTATAATGATGCATGTGACAAGCCAAGCTGAAGAAATAAACCAAAATTTCATTACAAAATACAGCACGTGTTTACATTCCTTGATCTTGCATTGTTGCATATCTGATATGAGCTGACATCAAAATCTGACACGGAGTTTATACAAGTTCCTCTTCTGCCTATTATGTAAATCGCCAATCCCATATCTCTGTGAGGGAGGGACGATCTTAAAAAATTCTCCTTAATTTGTTTCACACACGGGCCATTTTCTAAATATCCTTCAATCTTTATTCTAAAAAGTAAAATCACAAAAATACCGAACCCCAAGGAAAATTCAAAACGAAAAGTCTCTTATCAAATCAAACGAATGGAAAACAACTGTCATATTCCTGACTTGGTACAGGCATTTCCTTGTGTAGAAAATGGTCGGTTAAACCTCTCACCTGTATGACATTCGCATAGAATTCCATTATATTGACAACAATGTGTGAGCAAAGCAAACAGACAAAAAAATAATAGGTAAAAATGTCAAAAAATTGGGGTACAGCAGTCAACATTGTGTTATAATCTTAATCACTATAAAAACAAACAACTACGTCAACAAAGAAAAACAAAATGGCATATAGCCTGACAAAACTGCAAAAAATTACCATAGCACAATAACACAATGGCGGGATTTATAAATACCGAGCCACGCCAAAAGGATATTACCAAAATGGACTAAACAGTAAAGGTTAAAAATAGGCTAATTCGCTGTGTTATAGATTCATATAAGTTCTTTAAGGTTTCAACAACATTTGGGGGGTATTTCCAAGCATGTGACCAAATTAAAAAAGCATAAAGCTGATTCAAAACAGCAATTTTGATAAAATTTGGCAAAATTTTAGAAGTTATTTAAAAAGTGAATAGATAAGACATTATTACTAACCACAAGAAGCTCTACATATTACATCTCAGGTACACGTTAATCCTTATGTTGATAGTATGAAAATACATAAAATTGTGGAGTCTTTTTTTAAGTACTATAAAAAAGACTCCTTAATATTAAAATTCAAGTGGGTTTTAACAACATTCTGATTTGTGAATCTTTGGGTGAACCAAATTCAGTGAAAATTTACCTTTCTCCTTTTCCACGAATTCATTTTGAACCACAAGCTTAAATTACTAAATTTACAACTAACCACAGCGTCATGTGTCTAACTACTCAATGAGGTTAAGATGTGACGAAATCATAATTGCTTAAAATGGCTAAAAACTGCAATATTGATAGATTTTGACAAATTTCAGGGTATATAAAATTATGTAAAAAAAAAAAAATGTGACATTTCTAACCAAAACCAAAATTCTATCGGAAGTATTGTCTTTCAGACACATAAAATACAAAAATTCAGAAACATGAAAGATTTGCAATGCTGTGAAATGTCTTCAACCACAATGCATAGTGAATTTTTCTCTTTGGATATTTAAAAAAAATTTGAGCGTACTATTGAATGACTCTCATATTGAGGATCATATAGGATTCATCAAATTTCATATTTTGACAGTGAGTGAAACAAATCAAAAGGAATAGCCATACCTCTTGCAACGTAAAGAGAGAGAAAAAAAAATCGAAAATCTTCTTGATTTCTTAGCTGACATGCTACAAGACTGGTAATATTGTAAGGACGCACTGACATTTCATTAGATTTGATGGACGTATTTATATAGTTAGAAGAAAATTATTATGGCATTAACAGGTCTACATTGGAGTATTATATCTTTTAATGGGTACTTTTGTTTGGATTAACCCTCTGGAGATTCTCACTTCTGTGTTACAGACACGTTGAATTAAGAAATTTATAAATCCTTACAAAACCTGCTGTGTTATGTGATGACGTGATTGGTTTCGACGTCTGTGTCAAGTCATTAAGGTGTCAGACCACCAATTCAAAATCCCTATCTATTCAACCAGATTTTGCAATTTTCACAGCTTTCATAATATTTTACCTTAAGTTTAACTTCATAGAAACCAGGTATTTCCTGAATTGTACAATTATCACCTTTCGACATGCCAATTTTCAACCCATGTTTAAAGTCTTCTAAGAAAGAACTAGAACTGCCTTTTGGAAGTCATGTACTACTAAAAATAACCCCTGGTTTTCTCGAAATCTTAAATTAGTATACTATGGAGCGCATTAATCCTCAATTGTTAATGCAAACTCATAGACAAGTAAATTTTGGCTCAAAATGGTCTAAATATATTTCTCTTTCACCAAAAGTTTCATTTCTGCAAATTTGTTGGTTAGTTTAAGTAAACAATGACATCAGACGGACTATTTTGTGTCAGAGTAGGGCTACTTTATCGTTCTAAATTGGAGGGAGTGAATTGGTGGTCTGACACCTTAATAAGATTCCTTGTCCGGGTCCGGTTGTTTTTTTCCTTTTGGTCCTATTTTGTTTGATCAGCTCTTCAACGTTTGTATTAGATAAACTTATCATAGATAAAGTTTAAGACTTTCAAATCTTTTGGCTTAGAGTATCACTGAAGAGACATTTTTGGTTTAAATGCGCACCTGGTGCAGTAAAACTGGTACCGTTAATGTTATTACGGATACTGTCTAAACTATAACACAACCTAACATAACAAAAGACACAAACGATAAAAATGAATTAAAACTTTAACCAATATAAACTCCCTTTAAAACCATGAGTGATATCAGGTACTGCGAAAGTATTTTCATATTCCGCTTTCCACACGACACCCGTTTGATTGTTCAGTAACCAACCCCGATATTTATTCATTCGGTTACACAGGCACTTGTCTCAGAAAAACATTCCTATATACCTTAATATAACAAGGTATATAGGATTTTTTTTCTGAGACAAGTGCCTGTGTTCGGTTAGGGTAAAAGAGAGACGAAAGATACCAAAGGGACATTCAAACTCATAAGTCGAAAATAAACTGACCACGCCATCAATCTGAAATGATGAAACACTAAGAGAAATATGTTTCCGATTATTTGCGAGATACTTACCTTACACTTACTAAATAGGAAATCCTGAATTGGTCTGTTGCAACTTGACATTTCTTAGCAGTAACATACCCTCTGCCCCTTCGTATTGCGTTTACATATTTCAATTGATTAATACTCGTGCAAGTACTCACTATACGTACGTGTGCTCCTAAAACAAGAAACTGTTCAACAGTATCAAAAAGAACGGCTGAAATCGAACACGACTAAAGTTTTACGCTCACCATCGCGAATTGGTTGATGGATACGATGTTTCTTTGTCCAACCGGTCTTTCTTTAAATACAAGAATAGTCGTCTTATCTGTAAATCTACTGAATGTGTCCTATTCCTGATTGTTACATTTTGACTAAGTTCGGATTGGCATTCTGGATGATGTACATAATAGTAGGAGACGCTGACCCCCTCAAAGCACCCGGTACCTCATGGAGTTTTGGAAATTCCCTCAGTTTTGTTTTTTTCCTTGATTTGTATCTTTTAACGGATTTATGATATTTGAACATCGGCAAACTACTGTTGCCTCAATCTATGTTCATTTAGAATTTTCCTTAAAGACCAATTGATCTTCTTTTTGGAAACTGGATTTAAATAACGTAAGTGTCCATACAAACAAGATTAATTCCAAAATTATTTACATCTATTTTATCAGCTATTAAAATCGTACATCTGTGTAACTGTGAAAGTACAGACTCTTGGAAATCTGTGAACAATATGATTGATTAATTGTTGTTTAATGTCACTTTAGGAAAGGACAAGTACTACTTTGTAAAATCCACTCCGAATTAAAGAAAACCAATTGTCTTACAATGACATCACCAATGCAAGGTGCTTGATTTTTTTTCTATTGACAAAGTAATTGTTACATTTGTTAGACGTGTTTTCCTTCCAATACTTAGCCTCCATAAAGAAACCAACTGTGCTTTTCTCCTTGGTGTTTTGTTCCCTTTTCGCATGAGACAGACTTCATGCAGGAGCTTCTCAAGAAGAATGAAAAGAAGCCAGCATTATTCTTTAGCTTTACATTCTATATAGAAGATGTCTTCTCACTGAATTAATTAGAGTTTGGGGACTATGTTAATTGAGCACTTCATTTCCATTACATTTTCAATATAAAGGCTTCCATTTCTGTGTAGTGATATTCAAACAACCCCTGCATGTGAAAGTTGATGAATCTCGAGTTCTTAACGGTAAATTTGTAGTAATCTCTTTAAAGGTTTTATGGACGCAATCATAATTTGGCTGACCATTATGAAATATATGTGTCACAGATGACTATGGATATGTCTATTCGTGGTAACAACAACCCGGTCCTTTATACCTAGAACTGGAAATTGTAGAATGCGACTGATTACCGAATTTGTACTCACTACGCTCTCTGAAGAACGTTTAAGAATCCTAGCAACACCTCTCTGAGGGATCCGAAGGGGACGTGTTGCAATGCACACGTTCTACCCTTATCCAACATACCTTTATTTTCCATTGGATTTCCAAATATCCGGCTCTTCATCCTAGTCGACACACCTCGTAGAATTTTTTCCCCGTCCTGAACATATGCACGACATATACTCAACTCGAAGTTGATATAAAAATAAGGAGATGTGGTTTGATTGATAATGAGACAACTATCCACCAGAGTTCAATTTAGGTGGAAATACGGAATTATAGGCCACTGTATCACATTCAACTATAAAAAAAAACCTATACCGTATAGTCGGCTATATAGTAGGCCCCGACATGAAAAATGTGAAACAATTCAAACGAGAAACCTAACGGCCTAATTTTTAACAAAACAATTTACGAAAAACAAATATGACAAACATGGACTAAAGACAACATCTGAACTACATACTTCTGACTTGAGACATGCATAAAGAATGTGGCGGGGTTAACATGTATGTGAGCGGTCAACCCTTCACCTAACCTGCGACAGCACAATATACGAACAAATCATAAAAATTAGTTGCAATCGGCAAAACTTAAAA